GGTGGCTCCGGCGCCGGGCACCGGCCGAGCTCGGCACATGCAAAGCCGGTGAGCGGAGCATCGTCTCCCTGAGCCGCTCCGAGCGGTCACACGTCTCGGCCTTCCCCTGGCCGGCGATATTTAGGTTAAGCCTCGGGTGCTTACGCGGCTTCGTAAATTCAGGCAGAGCTCTTCTTCCAGTTGACGTTAAACTCGTGCAGTTTTGCCAGCTATAAAGCCTGGTTTAATCAAAGTTGCAATTAAACCTGACAACCTCCTTGTGCAGACTCTCCTCAATAAGATTAGGAACAGCTAAAATTAGTCTAATTTAGTGTTAATCATTAATCCTTTTATCCACTCTTAATCCAATTTAAATGTCCACACAACGAGCTTGCACAGACTTTGTTAACAAATTTAACACAAAATTGAATTAAATATTATTTAATTAAACCAACTCAATCTGAGTGCTGCTATACAAGGCGTTTGCCACAGATGATTATCAGCTGCTTGGTTAACCCTCAGACTTGTCCTGGGCTCTGTGCTCTCCCTCCAGCTCTTCGTGCTTCAGGATCGCACAGACATCTCCATCTATATTCAATGAATAAAAAGCACCCTTCCTAGCCCTCAGGATGGAAAACAGATTTTCACATATAAGATTCAGGGGGCACAGAAAATCCTGCCTCACAGAACAAACTTTTTTTAGGCAAAGTGTCACGATTCCAACGCTTCCCGCTGACCTTTGCCTCTGGGACCGCGTCCTGCACAGACACGCTGCTTTCTGGGACTCGTGCAGGGCCGGGACAGCTGAAGCCGCTCGCGGCTCTCGGGTGGGAGGAGAGAGCACGTCCCACCCCGCGAGGAGCCAGCGGCCAGCCCTGGCTCGGGGTCGGTCACCTTGAACTTTCCCTGTCTGATTGCTGTCTCCTCCAGCTATCTTTTCTGCAGTGGTCACTTTTCAAAGCATTGCAGAAGAGAAAAACGTAGCGTGAGTGCAGGAATCAGCTGCAACCTTTGCTGCCAAGTTGGCAGAGAAGATAAGGACGTTTTATTTAAAGAAAAAAAACCCAGACACTGAGGAGGATAGACAAGTCTTTAGCAACTTTTATAGCCAGTCTTGCAATACGATTTCCTAAGCACATTCAAAACTTGCAAAAAAAACCCCCAAGTTTTCCCTGGCAGGGTTTCCTTGGAGCGCTGCGCTTGCCGCGGACGCTGGC